GGCTATTACGGATTTAGTTGTAGTAGCATGAGTCATGGGGGACCCCGGTCCCAGGTTCTGACGCAAGGGGATCCACCAAGGATGCGGGTGGCCCATCTTATATAGCTTTCAAATAGCTCGCCAACCTAGAAGACTTTGAAGACGCTTACGACGAAAAAGCTTAGATTCGGCGGGGGAGGAAGGTCAAGAATTAAGATTTGGCAACGAAGTCTTCATGAAACCTTAACTCATCACTCATCCTCATCTACCTCTGCTGTTAAGCGATCTAGATGTAGAGACCTTGGAGTTACTGACGCTCAATACGATTTTGTAATTGAAAATCATATTGGCGAAACCGTTTGCTTATGTACTAGATAACAACCCTAAAGCACTTTGTGGAAAGCTATTAATAGGAAACAAGCTTACAAAATGCCTCGGTATATTTTACCAATACTCTACCATAATATTTGCACGAAGAATCGTTACGTAGGTGTGATATTCTTATTATATTTTTCTGTTCGCATTACACGGTAATATTTTCTCGTTGTCGGGAATAACAGGATGACTTGTACGTTTTGATCATAATCCGGAATGCTGTATGTATAGACTATGATTTTAATAATTATCCCTATCGACGCTTGAAAGGCAACTTGACTAAGCGACAATGCGTGAACTTTTCAGTAGACTAATTTAAAGTTGAAATACCTGAAAAAAATTCTATTTTAACGAATCTAGCTGTAGGATTGAAATGATTTTAATAGACCTAGAAATATATATTTTTTGCGCATCGAATAGGGTTATTGCCTATCATTTATGTATAAAGCAGCTATTATCGCTTAGTCATGTTTGCCTTTCAAGCGACGCTATATTTTATAATACTCGATAAATTTTATTCATCGTCGTCGTAGGTATTTGATCTAAAGCCCATAATCTCAAGCGGTCAACGTTCTTATGGAGATTGTTGAAGGGATGCAATTAAGTCCCCGCTAACGTACTTATTCCTAATTCTGCAGCGAATCAGTCAAGGTTTCCCGTCTTCCATCATTGCACAATATAATTTGACTTAGACTTCATATTTCTAAGTGGTTAACAGCATTCACATTGCTTATAGGGTCCAGTACTACTTTAAATCAATTGCCTCGTAAGCTCGTCCACACGTGAAATGCCTTAGTTAGTTTAGCCCACGGACACCACTACGTAATTTCTTCCACTCACCTTGAATTATGAAGTCAATTTGCTATACGTCTTCAGATTTTCGGTTCAAGCTTCAATTATATATTTTTTTCTTTTTTTTATTGCTTAGATGGGTGGATGAGCTCACAGCTCACCTAGTTTTAAGTAGTTACTGGAGCCTATAGACATATACAACGTAAATGCGCCACCCACCTTGAGATATAAGTTGTAAGTTCTCAAGTATAGTTACAACGTCTGCCCTACGCTTCAAACCGAAACGCATTACTGCTTTACAGCAGAAATAGGTAGAGTGGTGTACCTTCCCGCGCGAACTCACTAGAGATCCTATTGCCATCTTTTTATTTGGAGAATCCAAAGTCTGGGCTATAGATAGCGTTCTAAGTGCTCGCGAAAGTATTGAATGGTGTTTACTCTATAACTGTCCTTTTCGAATCTTTAGCTCGTTAGTTACAGCTCAGATCAATACCAGAGCTTGCTGAGAAATATATAATATATAAATTTGATAAATATCTTTTTTTTTTTTTTTTTTTTTTTTTTTTTTTTTTTTTTTTTTTTTTTTTTTTTTTTTTTTTTTTTTTTTTTTTTTTTTTTTTTTTTTTTTTTTTTTTTTTTTTTTTTTTTTTTTTTTTTTTTTTTTT